CGGAAGATTTATAAGTTTTATTCGTGTTTTTTGTATACCAATCGAGAATTCTACCGGCATAGGGGGAGATTATAGTCACACCCACTTCTGCACATGCAACAGCCTATATGGAATGATTTTGAAAAAAAGTGTTACCGTTTAATAATATAATTGAGGGATGAATTTTTTTGAAAAGTTTACCTGAACAAATGAGAAAATTAAAGTCATATTGCATTGAATTCCTTCCTTCTCAAGTATCTTAGCAGCTTGAATTCCTTCCCACGTTGATGCAATCTTTATCATTATTCGTGACTTATCAATACTAATTTCCTTGAAAAGTGAAATAAGATGCCTGGCCTTGATGATTGTCGCATCGGTGTCAAAAGAAGTTTTGCATCTACCTCAACTGACACCCGACCTGGAATAAGCTTGAGAATTTCTGCACCAAAGTTCACCAACTATAAATAAAGTAATATGAAATGAATTTACAGTAATAAATTTTTAGTAAGTGTATTGGGTTAGAAATAAAGTTACTAGTTTTTCAGCAGCCAATTCGGTCATTTTCTTCATTGGACTAATGATCGAAAAGATTAGTTACATCATAATGATTATTATTAAATATGAAAAATTATATATTTTAATAAATAATCAATACATTTCTTTACTATTCACATATTCAATAGCTGAATTAATTAAATAATCATAATGAGGTTTTTTAGTGGCTTCTAAAATCAACGACGGATTTGTGGTCGCTTCATGGGGATCAAATTTTTTCATCGCTATAATATTTTTAAATATTTATTAAACGAAAAGAATTAATTTAAATAAGGTTAAAGTTATTAATAATACGCACACACGAAATCACCAGAGTCGCCAACGATTGTAGTAAATTGGGTTATTTACTGAAACCATGATTTTATTTAGCAATTTTATAACAGGTATTGTGGAGATATGTTTTATAAATTTAAAAGTAGTTAGAAATTCAGATCCTAAAATTCAACCTCTTTATATAAATCTGCGCAGATTATTTAGAAACAGCAATTTCAAGGTGGATGATGCGAGCGATATCATTTGAACAAAATTAGACTGATAAGATACAACGATAATGTATAAGAATAATGTTTTGTTCGAAATTGAAATCGAAACCTAAATTTGGCTCTGCAAAGCAAAAAAAACGAAATCCCTAAATTTAGATCTTTGGCTTAACAGAATCAGGTATTGCAGAGATGTATATTAAAATTTAAAAGTGGTTAGATCAGATCCTAAAGTTCATCTCACTTTATATAAATCTGAGCAGATTATTTAGAAACAGCAATTTTAAGGTGGATGATGTAAAAATCACGCTAGTTCCAATGAAAAAATCAGTATCAGTTCACATTAGCTGAGACTATATTAATGGATTGCCGAATGTATTGAATGTATACTCGACATTCTGTTAGTATTTTGCCGATATTCAGCCAGCCAGCCGAATAATGACAGAACTTGCAGAATGGCTGCAGATAGGGTTGGGCAAATGTAAGCTACAATGTAAGTTACATATATATTTGTATATAATTTTTTAAATTTTTAATTTAAACATTTATTTAAATTTAAGGATTTTACTAAAACGCACCTATGGTGTTTTTACACCACAGGTCCCATTTCTCAAAAACGTACTAAGTAAACGGGATCGGGTCCTCTAAGTAAAAATGTTCAAGACCCCCAAAAACCTCACGAGAACTGAGATCGGGCCCTATCGAGCCCTTATAGTAGCTCTATATATATTATAAAAAAAAATAATTCTTAATTTCCTAACCCG